GGTGAAGAACCAAGTCCAGTTTGGCTCCTAACACTAGCTTTGGTAATTTTACACACCAACTGACAATGCAAATGTTTTTAAAATGCAAACTTAAACTAATCAGCTCATCCTGTTCAGAAACACAGTACAAGTGTGTAACAGTATCTACAGCACCATGAGGAAGTACAGCACTGTATGCGTTCAAAGAGCTGGTCTAACTCAAAAAAGTCTTTCCTATATTTGACAGCTTAGTCTTGCCCTCACCGGTATTCGTCCTCTTGACCGGAAGGCAGCCACTTTTCGGAGGTCCTCCTCTTTACTCTTGTAGGGTACGGCCAGCACAGTGGGGTAGGTGTCACACAGATCATAGCTCTTATTGATGAATGATATACGCCACTTGTTGTTAGGTAAACCCTGGAAGAGATAATGATCATTACTGACTCATTTCTTTGAAACTCAAACTCAGCTCTGACTGTTCAGAAGCATCAGACCTCACAGGTCATCAGGTTTTTAACATCAAGGCTTCTGAAGGTGCGTTCGCTTACTGTGGTTCAATAAAAACAGATTATCAGCCCTTATAGAAAACACTGCCATTCCTATTGTCCTGGGACCCCGATACTGCGCACGTTGTCTTTCTTACCTGCCGTCTGAACTCCTCTACAGGTTTGTAGATGGTCCAGCCAGTCTCAGCATACTTCTCTTGACTCAAATACGCAAAAAGAGGCTGGACAGAAGCAAAAGAGAGAAACATGTAAGACGTTACTGTATACAGCGGTCTTATAGAAACAGCAGCACATGCATTAGAACAGCCATTGTAACAGTAAAGCACACGAGCAGGGAGCGTTTTTAAATATTAAGCCCCATCGATGTTATAATACTCTTGGTTTGGACAGCAGGCAGTTAGCAGAACGAATGAAGGGGCTTTATTGGTTTAGTTTTTACCAAAAACATAAAAGGTCAGTTCAAAGTTGAACGAAAATTCTGCTTTTTTTTTTTTTCGCGTTCAAGCTTTAATATCCGTAAAAAGAAATATTACAGGCTTGTATAAAAGCTATCAGACGCCTAACAAACTGTGGTTTCCAACAGCCTCCAAATCAGCTCAGACCTAAAGCCGTCATCACTGTAAGTGTTTGTGCCAAAGAAGAACCTGCTGTAGTTTTACTAGATGATGCAATTTGAAAATAGAGCCTCAGAAATGCTGGAACAGCATTTTTAAAAACAGCACCAAATCACAACAACAGTCACCTCAAGGCGCTTTATACTGTAAGGCAGACCCAACAATCACATGACCCCCTATGAACAAGACTTTGGTGACAGTGGGAAGGAAAAACTGCCTTTTAACAGGAAGAAACCTCCAGCAGAACCAGGGAGGGGCGGGGCCATCTGCTGTGATTGGTTGGGGTGAGCAGAAGCCATATGCTCTATTTAAAACCCATAATGTTTATTAGGCTCTGTCAAAATAAGGTGTTCTTCTTTTTCCACATACCAAGTAATTAATACAAAGCAGCAGCAGACGTTAGAAGGTTTCTTACCAGACCGTGTGACAGAGGAAAGGCGTATCTGAAGAGAACCTCAAAAATATCTCTTCTGCTGTGGCCTTCCTGCTTCAGGGCAAACCTCAAATTCCTCATGTCCTGGTGACAGAACAGATCAAACACTTCACTGTCAACACACAACATGTAAGACCTGCAAAACAGACACAACTAAAAGAAAGTGTTGCTGTGACACTTTAAGCTACCAGCACATGTATGCGATGGCAGAGATGAGACTTTGTGTTCTTTTTAAATAAAAATCCAGTAACTGTAAAAAAGCAAATGACTTCTGAACATTAAACACACACCTTGCAAGTAATATCCAGGCCGTAGGAGTTTTCTCCTCTGCTTGACGCCCCACCCATCTTCTCCACTCGACTGATGGCACCCAATGGAACGTCCAGCGTCACCGTCACATCCTGCAACACAAAGTATGACAAATATAGTCATGTGACCTCAGCAACAGGAAGCTGTTCTGTTACACGAGGTCCAGCGTGTATTAAAAACAATGCACGACACACACACAGCTCTTATTTAAGAGCATGCAGTGGAATAAACTTCATGCCAAACTTTAGGACCCTCCCAGGTCATTCCTGTGAAGGCAGAGAAACACTGGCACAGAGAAACACTGGCACAGTGAAACACTGGCACCCACTCAAACTGATGAACATTTTAGGATCCTGAAAACAAGCTCCAGGTACGAGCCTTTAGCAGAGTTTAAAAAAAAAATACTCCGGCTCAGGTATGACCACGGAAATGCAAATGTAACGATCCCACTTCACACGTCACCCACTCGGCTGATTTATTGTATCAAGTACTTTGATCTTATTCATGCCTCGCAGTTTT